GATAGGTGGGGTATGGATGGGCAGAGACACCATAGCAGTTGTTGATGCCTCTTCTTTCCTCTTTGAAGGATGCTGCTGCCGATGAGGGCTACTTCATCTATTAAACCCAATACACTTGTCGCAGCTGCTAAGCCCCCATAAGCCGCCGGGCGCCGTGTTTGTGATGGGACTGACAGTGCATGGAGGAGGCTGATTATACACGATTCCATTTCTCGGGCCCAGCAATGTAATTTCACAGGGCGATCAGCGTTTGCATGTAATAGCAGGCTGTGCTGAGGTGTCAGAATATTAAAGGCGCTAATGGTAAAGCTCCCTGTTACACAGGGGGCCACCCGCCGCGCCTACAGCAGGGCTGTGCAGCAAGCCCGTCGCAGATGGCTGGCCACTAAGCTAATGGGGCAGCAGCCAAGGCGGGCAGAGCCATGAGAGGGGAGAGCCAGCCAGGAGCAGCTCAGCACCTGCTTCCCTGCGCATGGAAATTACAGCAGCCCAGGGAAAGGGAAATGTGCGTGCCTGCCTGGCAGAGGGCTGGAATGGGTTGGTGTGGTAACTGGCCACTTTCACCTCAACCCCACCCACACCAGTGGTGCAGTACCAGTTCCTGCTCCTGAGTCATCCACTGGTCAGGTGCTGACTGAATCACTGGCAGGTGGGCCCTGAGGGCTGAGAGAAGTGCAGCTGGAGAAGTGGCATCCAGAGAGTTTGGAGCCAGTGTTGGGAAAGAGGCTCAGGGACAAGCTCTTGGAGAAAACTCTAAAAACAGATTTCTACCCCACACTGAACAAGGGCAGCAAGCTTCTAGGCCCCTCTCCCCAGTGTCCCACAGGCTGGTGGGAGAGAGGGAGGGAGCAGAGTAAAGGGATAGATACAAGGCCCACTGATGCCTGTTTTGCTGTTGGCATGTGGAGTTGGGAAGAGATGCCTCAAGATGTGGCTCCTTCTCTTAAGTTGGCTGCCCTAGCCACACCCAAGCGCTTGTGCTCACACCTGCCGTTCTCCTTTGTCCTTGCTGAGCCTTCTGCTTGGAATGTTGTGTTCTCCTGCCATCTGTCCAACCCTCCTGGCCCTCTAGTACCACTCTTTCCAGAAAGCTTTCCAAGCCTCCTCCAACCCAACATGGTCTGCTTCTGTTCATTGTCCTCCATGGGCAACCCACAGGCTCAGCCTTCCTGATTCCCCTGCTGTGATGAGTTCCTGGGTGCTGGCCTTGACTTCACAACTAGACATAACCCATATCACCTTGCCCTGAATGGGACTTCCAGGAAGGGCTCTCCTAAGACATGTAGACAGATGTAATATTTTAAAGAGAACGTGTGTGGAGGGTGCAAGGAATGAAAGGACAGACAGAGTCACCTGAGGGAGAGTCTGATGCATGTGTGGTGTGCCGCATATATGTGGTTGGGCCATGATGTCATCTGCGTATCTGAGGAGGGGCGTGGGCTTTAAAAGTGAGTGCCAGGGTGGTGGTGTGTGGGTACAGGTGCAGATGGGAGGATCTAGACCAGGGGTCCTCAAACTTTTTAAATGGGGCCAGTTCACTGTCCCTCAGACTGTTGGAGGGCTGGACTACAGGCCCCAGGATGAGTCGGCTGCTAAGCAGGACAGGCAGCGGTGGCAAAAACACCTGGTGGGCTGGATAAATGTCCTTGGTGGGCCGCAGTTTGAGGATGCCTGATCCAGACCATACATTGGCAAGAGCACAGGTTGCTGTAGGACCCTCTGTGTTCTCTAGGTGGCTGTCTGTGTCTGCTGCTGTACCTGAGGGGTCCTAAGATGACGGAAGCTTGATGTGCTGAGCCCTTATACTATACTTAGGGTGGTTGTGTGAGGCTGGTGGTCACATCTAAAGGTTAAGCTCTGCAAGGGTGTATGTCACTACCTGGGAGAGACATGCCAGGGTTCTTAGTAGAGGCAGCAGGGGGTGAGTCCAGGCTGGAGGAGAGCAGTTTTAATTAACTGTTTTTAATATCATTTTGGACTTTGGCTGGTATGTGAAGGCCCCGCTGGAAGCAGCATTTGTAAAAATTAAATCCCTCTTATTAGGAGCTTGGCAGACCCATGTGCACACACTGCCCCTCCCCCTGCCCTGTGCCCCCCTGAGGAAGTGCTGGATGAGGCCATGTCATGGCAGCAATTGGTTATCACACCTTATCTGGGAATATGAAACTGTGCAGCATGACACCCGTGGCCGCAGTGGAGACGCCAATTCATCTCGCCCTCGCTCTGACAAGCTAGACTGCCCTTCCTGAAAGGCATCCGTCAGGCGGGACGGGCTGCTGCCTTGCTTGGCACCTCCACTTTCCTTCCAGGGGCTCCAGCTTGCCCTGGCCCAGCCTGGCCCTCCTGGGCTCTGCTGCCCTCCATCCCCTTCCCACTCAGTCCAGCTTGCAGAAGATCTTAGGGAATCATAATTACAATAATAATCTAATCATAGTGACGCGCAGGGCAAGCATCTAATGTTATCTGAAGTGGTCTTCCCGCTTAGCTGCGATAAGACTCGGGATGACGTGCAGATAACGTTGAGCTGCCTTGTCCCCGAGCTTCGAGCAGAGCAGAGGGGCCTCAGCAGCCCTGCCACCCGCCCGCCGCCGCTTTAAGCCGGGAAGCGGCAGCACCTGCTAATGCAAGTGTTTAATATTTGATGGGCTGGGATAAAGCAGGATCACCTTCGAATTGAATTGAGTGTCAGCCGAGAATCTATTACTGAAATTCGGGTGTGATTTGACAGCAAAGTAGACGATGTTATTCTTCACTAGTTACTGCAATCTTCTCCCCGACATCACTTAAATATTTTTTTCTTTGCTTGAGTAAACACACATTATCCTTCTTTTTCCCCCTTCCTTCCCTTTTTCCTTTTTAGAGGGGGAAAAAAACCCATCCAGCTCGCTTCTCCAGGCTGATAGAGTAGATTGTTATTTCTTTATTTGTCCTATTAAATGGAATTTCTGATCGTTTAATCCGGCCTTTGTAAGTGATTTTAAAGTACTTGAAAGGCTGCCGCCACTGCTCTCTGGCCCACTGCGCTCCAGCCTCAGCCCTGACCAGGCGAAGCAGCCAGCAACTGCAGCTGTGTACCGCCCACTGGCTGCTTGCTTGCCTTACTGCCCGTGTCCCAGCTCTGCCCAGGCTCTAGGCCAGCATCTTCTCCCCTGTCCTTGAGTCTCACAGTCAGCCCCTGATTTGTGGGTTCAGCTGAGGCCTGGGAGAGGTTGGCTGGGGAATTGGGCTGAGGCTGGAACCTCTGTAGTCAAGAAATACAGCTTTAGGCTCGGCGCCTGTGGCTCAAGTGGCTAAGGCGCCAGCCACATACACCTAAGGTGGCGGGTTCGAATCCCCAGCCCAGGCCCGCCAAACAACAATGATGGCTGCAACCAAAAAATGGCCAGGCGTTGTGGCGGGCGCCTGTAGTCCCAGCTACTTGGGAGGCTGAGGCAGGAGACTTGCTTGAGCCCAGGATTTGGAGGTTGCTGTGAGCGTGATGCCATGGCACTCTACCCAGGCGGATAGCTTGAGGCTCCGTCTCAAAAAAAAAAGAAATACAGCTTTAGAGGGTGCTAAGGTTTCAGTACACTGGTTTCTAGCCTCCAAGTACCCATAGGACTGGAAAGGAATGGTGGACACGGTCTGGTCCCTGGGCATTGGCACAGTGTCTGACCATGGCTGGTAGTCACTTTGGTTCCATCACTGGACACCACATCCCAGTGTAACTTCTGGAATTCACCCAAGCTTCATTCCCAGTTATCACTGTCCTTCATGCTGTCCTGATACTGGGAGAAGGGCAACCTGGTGTTTAGGGACTTCTAAAATGAGGGGATGGGTAACGTTTGTGGATTTAACTTACTACCAGGCCCACTGGTAGAAACCCAGGACTTTGTCAGTAGACCAATCTGGAATTAAATCCTCTTCAGCGGCTTCATAGCATTCTAAGCTGTGTGGGTCTCTTCTTTCTGGGCCTCAGTTTCCTCATCTGTGACATTAAGTCAGTCATGCCAAGGAACGGTGCTGTCCCCTTCTTGCCATGTGTCCCCAAGTGGAGGTTGCTGGTGGACCTGTGCGGTGGTAGGCATGGAGGGGGGTAGCGGAATGCTGGGGGCTTGAGGAAATCGATGCCCCCAGCACTTCCTTCCCCAACCCCAGGAAAACAATTAAGTACAGATCGATGGGTGGCCGCTTTGAATATGCATAAGTGAGCACTTGACCTTCAGCAGAGCATCTGCTCCCCCCACACATAACACACAAACTCTCTCTTCACCCCTCCCCTTCCGAGCTCCCTTCAGAGCTGCTTGAGGCCAGCAGGTGACCTTACTCTACTCCTTAGTTGAGCCCCCACATGGTGCTCAGAGCCTGCCACCTCCTGGCCTGCTCGGAGTCAAAAGCACCTTGACTGCAAGCAGGGTGTCCAAGGTCCTCCCTGAAGCCAGTTTTTGTGACCAGTAATACTGTGGGGAGGGAGCCCAGCAAAGTTCTTGAGCTCTGGAAAAGGGAGAATCTAAGGGGGTGCATGGTGAAGGCGGTGCCCTGATGAGAGGAGGTTTCCTGATGAGGAAGATCCATGTCAGGCGTCCTCAAACTATGGCCCTGCCCAGGGGCCACATGCGGCCAGCCTAGGACATTTATCTGGCCTGCTGGGTGTTTTTGCCACCGCTGCCTGTCCTGCTTAGCAGCCGACTGGTCCCAGGGCCTGCAGTCCGGCCCTCCAATGGTCTGAGGGACAGTGTACTGGCCCCCTGTTTAAAAAGTTTGAGGACCCCTGATCCATGTCAATAGGAACTCTCTAGAGAGGTGCCCTGTGAGGGCTGGGGACTCCCATGGGGAGAAGCCCTGGAGAAAGGGAACTCTGGAGAGGGAAGGGATTTTCTGCTGGAAGTGCCTTAGTGGAAAGAGGACCCAGCATGGGGACTAGGTAGCATTATGGTGGTCTGGGGTTGGGGGGACCTGGTGAGTGGGGTTAGTTCAGGAGTCAGGACCTTTGTTAACCACTCTTGCCTCCTGTCTTCCAGGCTTACAGCTTCGCCATGGGCTGCTGGCCCAAGAATGGACTTCTAGACATGAACAAGGGCCTCAGCCTGCAGCACATAGGTCGGCCCCACAGCGGCATCGGTCAGTCCCTTCGCATATCCCTCTGGCAGCTTGGTCAGTCCCCTGCCCACATGCCCCAGTTCCCTGACACACAGAGGGATTCAATGGCTTATTTACTGCCCTGGCAGGGCTCTCTCCATAGCAGAGAGAAGTGGCAAAGGGATGGAGTGAGGGGATTGCCTTGGATTCAGGCCAAAGTTCCCCCCTTGTTTGCATCCCTAGTGGGCAGTATCCTCAGGGGGTGGGCACATGTCAGCTTACCTAGCCCCCATGGAGCTGGAGGAGGCTGTTTAATATTGTTTCAAGTCTGTGGCCACTAAACTGGACGATCAATGGGAGTTAAGGAGATGAATTATTTAAACCTCACCAGCTTTTAATTAGTTGGGGTCCTTCTGACCGATGGCTCCGTCCACAGGGTATTGACTCCCCCGCAGGAGCAGCAGGCTCCATTGAGCGGTGCCTGGGTTGGAAGGGGACACTTGGGGTACCAGGTGGGGGTACACCCTTAGGAGGATTCCTGGTTGGTAGGGGAATGGAGTGGCTATGACTACAGATAGTTGGAAGCCGTGGTAGCTTCTGTTCTATCAGTATGAAGATGCGTCTATGAGTATCTGTGTGCATGTATGACACCTTTAACTGTATGTCTCTGTGTGTCTAAGAGTGTAATGCGTCTGTGATTATACATATCTCTGTGTGTATAACAATATACCTGTATTTTTCTGAGGGCATGTGTCTGTATATGGAAGCAACCACCTGCCTATGTATATCTGTCAGAAAGTATCTGTCTGTTTCTGTGTCTTACAGTATTTTGTTTGCATAGGCGCATATGTGAATGCAAGTGCTTTCAGGTAGGGTACTTGACCAGGCATAGGCTTTATTTCAAGTGGGGAGGGGCTAGGGTATTCCTGGATGGTGTTGCAACATTGTCACAGCCTATGTACCTTAGGGTAGGTATCATTATGGGGAACTAGAGACATATACCAGAAGGCTGAGAACCTAGGAGTAGCCTCTCTGTCCATTCCACAGACATTTACTGGTGCCTAGTGGGTGTTGATCATGCTTAGTAGAAGTTCCTGTTCTCAGGGAATGCACATCCTGGAGAGAGACAGTGAAACAGATGCTTGTCACCCTGGGTAGTAAGGGCTGTGATAGAATCACCTGTTCTCAGTTCCCAAGGTAGCTTCTGCTTCTTCAGTTACATCTCACTAACTCCTGGGATGCCCCATGTTATTCTATTTGGGACATCTCAAGGCTCTTCTGGGGTTCAGAGGGAAAGAAGAAGCAGTCAACAGGCCTGGGGAACTGGGGGTGCTCCCCTGTAACTGCTGCTCCCTCCCATAGAAATTTTCCATGCAACCCAGGGAAGATACCAAACCCAGCAAGGTGATGTGCTTGGGAGGTCCCCAGAAAGTTTCCTAGGGAACAGAACACTTAAGTTGGGATCTTTAAAGGATGAATAATAGTTTACTAGGCAGAAAAATGGGGAAAGGTATTTTAGGTAGGGAGACTGTACAAATACCTGGGGGCACGAGAAAGCCCAGCATTTTTTTTTTTTTTTTTTGAGACGAAGCCTCAAGCTATCCCCCTGGTAGAGTGCCGTGGCATCACGCTCACAGCAACCTCCAAATCCTGGGCTCAAGCGAGTCTCCTGCCTCAGCCTCCCAAGTAGCTGGGACCACAGGTGCCCGCCACAACGCCTGGCCATTTTTTGGTTGCAGCCATCATTGTTGTTTGGCGGACCCGGGCTGGGGATTCGAACCTGCCACCTTAGGTGTATGTGGCTGGCGCCTTAGCCACTTGAGCCACAGGCGCCGAGCTGAAAGCCCAGCATATTAAGAGGACAAGTTTAGATATCTACAAGTAGTTTCTCATGATTGGAGTGGAAAATTTGGTTTAGGGAACAGCTAGAAAATAAATGGACCGAAGCAGGGCTTTGAATGCTGCATGGTTAGAGGTTGTGGATTTTTCCTGAGGTTCTGAGGAGACATAGGAGGTTTGTGAGTGAGAGAATGACCAAAGCTCTGATTCAGAATCAATGAGGTTTTTTGTGCTGCAAAAAAAATAGTTCTCAGTAGGTGCTCAATAAATGCAGATGGATGAATGGATGGATGAACAAATGTGTAAGTAAATGAATCCATGAAAAAGTGATAAGGGAGTGATGGGAAAGGTAGGAACTAGACAGAGCACCAGTGAGAAGACTTGCTTTGGTCCAGGGGAGGAGGAACTGCTAATGCTTGAATCTGGCTAGTGAGAAGGGCAGTGAGACCAGGTTAATGGACCCAGCCTGGATCTGGATGCCCTACTTCTGTGTGTCTATCCCAGAGAACCTCTTTGTGAAAAGATACATGGATACACTCTTGGTATCTCAGTGATGCCCCTCCTGTCTGTTCTCCCTGTTGACCCTGGGTTAGGACCCCTCTTCCTCCAGACAGGAAATTTTCTCCACCTGGGTGGGCCCTACAGGTCAGCATAGGCTCTGGGTAACAATGGAGTAAAGACTTTGGAGCCACAGGAAATTCTGGTTTCACCACCTAGGACCCTGTGGCATAGATGAAGAAGAGTGCCAGATGCCTCTCAGGGCTATCAGGAAGGTTCAGCAAGTCACGTGTGTAAAAAGCTTGTGCAATGCCTGGCACTCAGTGGGTGTTCAAGGAGCTCCCTTCTCTGGTGCCTTGCCAGCCCCAGGGGCTCCCTAGGGGGTTCTTGGCACTTAATCTTTGTAGTCTTTGAATGAAGAGGGCTGCCCTGCCAGCTCTGGGCTGCCTCTGAGGTGTGGGTGAGGGTGCTTGGAAGGGAGGGAGGATGCAGGGCATTAATTGGGCTGGGAGAGGCGGGGAGGGGAGGCATGGGTTTTGAACAGTGAGGTTAATGGCCCTCGCACCAAAGAGACAGCTTTAATGAGCTTCAGCTGGCTGTGCCCCGAGTTACTGTGCGTGCTAAAAGGGTCGCGCTGTAAGAGTTTGATGTGGACTGCTTCCCAGCCCTGGGGTCGGGGGTCAGCTCCTGTCACTGGCCACTCAGGCTGGTCCTCAGTGACATGGAGCTAATTAACTGTGTGAGGAGCTGCCAGCCTGGAGTGGGGAGTGGTATGTATATTGGTGGGGGGAAGGCAGCATTGGGTGATGCTGGGCAAGGATTTTGCAGATCTTGTAACTTAGCCATCTCCAGTGTCTGCTTGGTTCCCCTGCAGTGCTGTGGGGGTGTGGCATGAGTGGTGTGGAGGTGCCAAAAGGGCAAAGGAGGCAGGTTAGCAGTAGTGTTGGGGTGACAGGTGCAGGGCAGGGCATTGGCTGTAAAAGGGGAGAGGGCCAGTTGGCATAGTCATGTGCTGCAGACTGAGATGTTTGAGGGGGAGCTATTGGAGCGTTTGGGGCAGTGAATAGACTTGGTCAGAGTTGGGCTTCAGTCATTACAGTCTTGTAGTTGGTACAGGAAGGACTCATGAGGAGAACTACAAAGCAAGAGGTTATGGCTAATTCAGAGCCAGGGCAGTGGCCCTGGAAATGAAAGCAGGGGACTAGGTAAAACTTTCATTCAGTATACGTTACCTTGTACCTACTACAAGTCAAGAACTGTGATAGATGCTAGAAATGTATTGGTAAAGATGACAGTGCCCCACAGAGCTCACAGGTGGAATGGTAGGCTTGGCCCTGGGGACTGAGGGGGAGGTAGGTTTCAGGGATGGCTAAGGACCATCCAGAGGTAGTGAAGCACATGGCACAAAGGCTTTTGCAGGCTTGTTAGCATGTTAGGGACGGATGCTTCCTCCTGGGGTACTGGATTGGCCTTGGGAGCCTGGTGAACAGAGTGGTGCTAGAGCAGGTTGCAGGTGAGAACTCTGTGCTTAGAATTGCTGAAAAAAAAAAAAAGAATTGCTGTCTTCCAGGCCTACCAGTGAACATCCTGGGTTTGGGCCCCAGGCCATGTCAGCAAAGCACCCACATTACTTTAGGGCACTTCATATTAACTAATTTAATTTTCACAACAGTTGGATGAAATGAAAGCAGGCATTATCATCATCATTCCCATTTTATAGATGAGAAAACTGAGGCTTAGTTAAAAGTGACTTGCCTACGATCACACAGCCAGTTGAGTCGAGGAGCCAGGATTCAAACCCAAGTTCATTTGAGTACAAAGCCTGTGTTCTTATCACTGTACTGAACTACGAAGTACCTTTTTGGTGTCAGGCTTTGTGCTGCCAGAGGAGCTCCCATCCTTCATTTCCCTCAGCATCATGTGAAATATGCAGGCCTTCACAAAGCCTCAGAAGCAGCAGCTGAGGAAGAAGGAAGAGGCGGCACTGCCACTCCTTCATGCTCTTGTAGTCGCCTTCAGAACCAGAGCTGTGCAGCTATGAGCAGCTGACCTCCTCTGGCCCTGACAGTTCTTTGACTTCAGTTTGCTCTCCTCCTCTTGACCCAGGAAAATTCTGCCCATCTTCCAGATTCCCACCTCCTCTGGGAATCTTGCCTGGCCGTCTCAATCTGAGTATACAGAATGCATACTTGGACTAGAGTATAATTTTTTTTTTTTTTTTTTTTTTGAGACGGAGCCTCAAGCTATCCTCCCGGGTAAAGTGCCATGGCATCACGCTCACAGCAACCTCCAACTCCTGGGCTCAAGCGAGTCTCCTGCCTCAGCCTCCCAAGTAGCTGGGACTACAGGCGCCCGCCACAACGCCCGGCTATTTTTTGGTTGCAGCCATCATTGTTGTTTGGCGGGCCCAGGCTGGGGATTTGAACCCACCACCTTAGGTGTATGTGGCTGGCGCCTTAGCCGCTTGAGCCACAGGCGCCAAGCCGGACTAGAGTATAATTTGTTGGAGGTGTCATTACCTGGCCCTTGTATACTTGGGTTCTCTAAGGGCAGGGCCTAGGCCTCCTTCTTGTTCTTTCTGGAAATCTGCACAGGAAATGTCAGTAAAATCTCTTCTGTTAATTGTATCATGGACGCCCCACAGACTTCTGGTTTTAGTGGCTGGGAGAGTAACTGGAACCTTCCCTGATGCTCAGACTGCTGGT